TTTGAAGTTGAAGAGAGGCTGACTGGAAGAGGCTGACTGGGAGCCCCCATTGTCTGCTTTGCCCCCCACCCCAGCCCGGGCTCACATGGCCGGCATTCTCACGGCCCCTGGGCCAGGATAGTCCTGACTGCAGGTCTCTGTGTCCACAACCAGGACGTCCACCTCCTGCCAACTGCAGGGGTTGCAGAGACTCTGGGGGAACAAGCCAAAGAGAAGGGGGGAGGGGCACCAGTAGTGCCCTGTGGAAGGCTCCAGAAACAAACCTGCACATGATGAGCCTGGCATCCATGCTTGTGGGTCACACGCTGAGACCTGGTGACGCGGTAGAAAGCGGCAGCAGTCAGAGAGAGCGGTAACAGAAGAGAGAGCTGTTTAGTTCAATGAAGCAATAGTTCAGAAAGAGACCCACACATAAATGATCAATTATTTTCAAGCCAGGGCTTTCTTTACCAATGTTTCTGGAATGATTGTGTAATCTGTGGGGGTCAGGAGGTGGGAGAACATGAGCCTTGGCACTTGCCTCCTATGAGAATAAACAAACATCTTTTCTGGTTAAGAACAGTTTAGGCAGCCATTATTTTGGACTGTGTGACTTGGCAGCCGCCATGTTGCCACATGGCTCGCAGTTCCCCTGGGGGCCGCCATCTTGAAACAGCAAAGGCTGAGATTAGCCAATCTCAAAAGACTGTGTGCCTGAGCTCTAATCAATAGCAATGGACAGGTCACGTGTTTAAAGGATTATAAACCCGAGCAGCCCACTGCTTCGTGTAAACATGCTTCCAGACCATGTGTGTGCACCCTTCTATATAGAAGTAAAGATGTTTGTCTTGCTGCCTGGCTCCCAAGTGTGTTTTGTGTTCTACAAGAACCCATGACTTGGGGGGGGGGGGGGGAGGGGAGTGCACTCGCCTTATTTCTAAAACTCCTAACATACATAATTTAATTCAACATAGATTTAATTGTAGACATCTAGACTAATAATAGAGTAATATGCTAATTTAGACTTCCTTCTGGACAAAGCCATGATAGTGGGGGCCAAGTCAGAGGCAGTTAGGGGTTAGATCAGGTCAACAGGTGAGGGCAGTTGAGGGTGAGATCAGGCTGGCAGATGAGGGCATTTTGGGGCAACATCAGGCTGGCAGGGGAAGGCAGTTGGGGGTAACCAGGCCAGCAGGGAAGGGAAGTTGGGCACATTAGGCAGGCAGCAGGTGAGTGGTTAGGAGCCAGTGGTCCTGGATTGCGAGAGGGATGTCTGAATGCCAGTTGAAACATCCCCTGAGAGGTCCCAGTTTGGACAGGGTGCAGGCTGGGCTGAGGGACACTCTCCTCCCCCAGTGCATGAATTCCATGCACCAGGCCTTTAGTTTATACAGATGTGTCTATACACCAGTCAGTGCACACACATGTCCTTGCACTCTCAGCTGAGGGCTTAGATGCAAGGACACCCCAGAGCAACCAGCACACCAGTGAAGTCCAGAGCAACCAGCACAACAGTGAAGCCCAGACTCGGGTTTCTAACCGCATCTCCAAAACAAGGAGCTGGGGTCCTTGGAGAAATGGCTGATTCTAAGACTGAGGCAGCAAATGTTCAAGAAGAGCCAGGTGTCTGAGAAGCTGTCACAGTCCAGAGGACCCTAAGGAGATAAGACAATTAGATGTCATGTGGGGCCTGGATGGAATCCTGGTACAGAAAGAGGCCATTGGAGGAAAAGTAAGGGCATCCGAATAAAGCAGGGATTATAGTTAGTATAGTGTATCACATTGGGTCATCTATAAAAATAAAAGTAATATGCTAATTAGACCAGACAGCCAAACAACCTTCCAGATGTCATTCCTAATGTCCTTCCAGACGAAGCTGAGGTGGCTGGAGCTGAGGTAAAGGTGGTTAGGGGTAATCAGGGGAGGTGAGCAGTTAAGGGTGATCAGGCATGCAAGCAAGTGGTTAGGGGGGATCAGGCAGGCAGGCAGAGGAGTTAGGAGCCAGCAGTCTCAGATTGTGAAAGGATGCTGATTCGACTGAGTTATCCCCTTGCATGAATTTCCTATACTGGGCCTCTAGTTCATTATAACAAATAGATCATACTATTATAAAATGTTAATAATAGAGGAAATTGGGTGCAGGGTATAAATCTAAACCTGTCCTAAAATGTAAAAGTATATTTCTAAATAAGAAATACAGACCTAGAGTTCCAGGCCCAAATGAGCCTAAGAGAGACACAGCTCAAGCCCTGTGAGGAGTGTTGCCTCACCGTCCGCAGGTCCTGTGGTCTCCACCACAGATCAGACAGACACATCACCAGCTGCCCAGCCTGGGGAAGCCCTTCCTAACCGTCCCCTGTCCTGCCAGAACCTGATCACTGAGCTGATTAGGGGGCCTTGGGAAGGGCCAGGACTTCCTGTCCCCCCAGCTAGCTCCCAATCACAGGCGGAGTTGGAGGTCATTGTAGGTCAGTGATCTCCTCTTAGATCTGGGGGAACTGAGAATGAGGAGGGTTTTGCTTGATGATCCAGGACCAGTCTTCTTGGGGTGCAGACCTGTCTCCTTCCCACCACCCCCTGCCAAGAGCTACAACTGTGAAGTGGTTGTTCCACATTGACCCTGATGATGATAAGGATCGCAATGGCACCACCTGTCCAGGCCTCTGGGGGCTTGATGTGGCCCAGTTTATGGGGTGGAGATAAGTCTGCAGTAACACAGATCATCTGCCTCCTGGACCACACAGTGCCATCTAGGCCCCACAGAAAGGGAGATGGGCCCTCACCCATCCCACCCCAGTTAGCTTCAAGTGTTGGGACCCTCTCTCCCCACTGGCAGAAGGATGGCCCTTCCAAGATGTCCTCATCCTCACCCCTGCGCCTGTTCCTCTGCCTGTGGGCTCATGGGACAGAGGCTTTTGTGGACGTGACTAAGGTGATGGCCTCGAGACAGGAAAGTTCCCTAGGCCGTCCGAATGCACCAGGTGTCCTCAGGTGAGTCCTTAAAATCACAGGCTCTTCCCAGCTGTGGGCAGGAGATGGAGGGTGTTGGAGAGATGCTTTGAAGATGGAGGACAGGCAGGAACATGGAGGACATGCTTTGAAGAACTCGGGGGGCCTCTAGAAGCTGCAAGAGGCCAGAAACTGATTCTGCCCTGGAGCCTCCGGGAGGCATGCAGCCCTGCCCACACCTGGGCTTTAGCCCCGTGAGACCCAGGACATGCCTCTCACCGAAGAATCATGAGAAAATGAATGTGTCATTCAAGCTTTGACTTGGTGGTAATTTTAAACCCAGTTGTTTTCCCTGGAAAATTTATCCAACATTTAAGAAAGAAAGAATAGCAAACCTACATAATCTATCCCGGTTGGAGAGAACACTGCCAAACTCCTTTGTTTAAGGTCAGGATTACCCTCATACCAAAATTAGTCAAAGACATTACATAGAAAGGTAACTACAGACCAATATCCTTCATCAGCATAGACACAAGAATCCTCAACAAGATATTAGCAGATTGAATCAGGAGCCATATACATGGGATCGAGATAACACATTGTGACCCAGTGAAGTTTGCCTAAGAAAACCAGAGAGATTGTATGGGAAGAAAACTACAGACCAGTGTCCCTCCTAGAGCGAGCCACCAAAATCCTTAATCCAACTTTGGTGAATTGAGTTCCTCAAAATATGGAGAGGTTGATACATCATAGTCAAGTGTAATTCATTCCAGAAATGCAAAATTGGTTTAACATGTGAAAATCAGTCCACGTAATTCATTATATTGACAAACTATGAAAGAGTAGCTATTATTGTCCTATGCTTAGCAGCAGAAAAAAACTTTTACATAATTTAACATCCATTTCAATTCAACAGAAATAGCTATAGCATGCTGTCTTGATTAATTTGCTGAGAATTTCTGTTGGATTGAAATGGGTGTTGAGTTGTGTTAAAAAAAAAATTCTGCCACTAAGCATAAGATAATAGCGGTTCTTTTACAGTTTGTCAATATGATGAATTACATGGATTAATTTTCACATGTTAAACCACCTTTGCATGTATTCCAAGCCTGGGTCAGCTCAGGTTATAGACAGCTGGGAAGAACATCACTCACAAACTGCAAATCAAGACATTTCTGGACCCTATCAAAGAACTGAGGTCACAGGGCAAAGAGCTGACCCAATATCTGGAGAGGAACGGGACCAAGCACTTGGTCACTTGGGACATATGTGTAGGAGCAAGACAGGGACAGATGGGTCCCAGAGCCAGGCAGGTGTCTGGTCAGGGTAGAGGACAGGCCGAGGCTCCCCTAGGCCACAGGAGGGGCCATCTGGATGGCAGTGGGTGATGCAAAAGGATCAGGACTCTGGGTGTTGGGGGAGGTGGGCTAGAGGCTCTGGTAACCAGCAAGCCCAAGGGACTGAGGAGCTGGGAGGATGAACAGGCAGGGATAGTGGTCAGCCCTGGTTGTAGAGGTTGGGGGCCAGGTGTAGTGGGGCCTGACTGAGGGTTGTCCAAGGGGAACTGGCACTAGCTGCTTGTTATCTGTCACCTCTATCTGCCTGTCCCTCACTGATGACACTCAGATCCCAAGATAACAAGGTATCATGGAGAACAGCTGAACTGCTCAGATAACACCCGGACATGGATGTTGTCAGATACTCAAGGAATCCTGGGGGGAAGATCAGGGCCCTGGTTCTGAATCATCCACTTCCTCCAACCCTGATTGGAGGATTGAGCAACCCCTCCTCTGACCCGCCACTCACGCCATCTGGAAGGATAAATGAGAGGAGAGAGTGGGCTGGGGCAATAGCAGCAGTGACTTGTCAAGGTAAGCACCCCACCAGACCCCACCACCTGGGGTTAGTGCACTAAGTACCTGAGCCTCACATCTGGAGCAGCAGGACCTCAGACTCAGGGTCTGAACTGGCCCCTCATCCCAGGGTCCTCGACTCCATCTGCCCCCACACCCTGCAGACCCCCGCCGGGCTCAGCACCCCTGGGTCAAGCAGCCCCTCCTGGCTCCTTCCAGATGCTGAGTCTGCTGGTGCTGGCACTGCCCCTCCTGCTGAGCCCAGGCCACGAGGCCCCTGGTGAGTCCTGACCCTGCTCAGCCCTGTCCCTGCCCCTGCCTCTCCCCCCACAGGCTCCACAAGGGGTGGTGGGCTCACAAAACCCAGGTTTGCGTGGGCACAGGGGCCAGATTGTGTCCTAAGGGTGTTTCCTGCCCCAGCCTTGAGCCAAGACCTGGAGAGAGTGGGCATCGTGGGAGGACAAGAGGCCCCTGAAAACAAGTGGCCCTGGCAGGTGAGCCTGAGACTCCTACGAGACGAATACTGGCAACACTTCTGCGGAGGCTCCCTCATCCACCCCCAGTGGGTGCTGACCGCCGCACACTGCCTGGGACCGTGAGTGCCCATGGGACCTGATGGGTGGGGGCTGGGGCTGGGACTGCATCCCCACTCCTTCTGAGTGGACAGGCACCCACTCAGTCCCCTGAGTAAGTGCTCCCTCCAGGGAAATCAAAGATCCCGCAAACCTGAGGGTGCAGCTGCGGGAGCAGCACCTCTATTACCGGGACAAGCTGCTGCCCATCAACCGGATCATCGTGCACCCCAGCTACTATGATATCGTGGAGGGGTTTGACATCGCCCTGATGGAGCTGGAGGATCCTGTGAATATTTCCTGTAATGTCCAGCCGGTCACTCTGCCCCCTGCTTCGGAGACCTTCCCCCCAGGGACCCCGTGCTGGGTAACAGGCTGGGGTGATGTGCATGAGAAAAGTGAGTCACGCACAGTTGGATGGGGGGAACCAGTCACACCCATGACCCAGCTCTGGGGTTCCCTTTTGGGGAGGACCTGATGGGCCAGTTCAGGGAATGGGAGTTTGGTGAGCTCGGCCGGGCAGAGCTGGCAGGGGCAGGGGGTACCAAGAGAAGGGACTAGGTGTCTGGGCGAGGAAGTCACTTAGGGCCACCGTGCCTCAGTTTCCCCTGGTATTTCATGGATGGAATGTAGGAAGGAGAGAAAACACACACCCAGTCGCCATTACTAATAAGGGAAAGAGAACAGTGCCCGCCTCAGCAGGCCTGCTATTCTCCCTGTACCCCGACAAGGAGCCCGAAGCAGGCCCCAGGGGGCAGCTAGATGTGCCGAGTCTGACTCTCCGAGACCATCGTCTTCTCCCCCTGAGCCCACAATCCAGAGCAAAGCCTTAGGGACACTGAGCATGAGCAGGCGCCCTGCGTGAGGCACATGCTCTGGGCCTCCCACAAGGGACCTGATTGTGGCATCACCCAGGCACCAGTGGAGACAAAACATCCAACCCATCCAGCCCAGAAAACTGAGTCCTGGGGCCAGGCTGGCCTGGAGGCAGAGCTGGGAGGAATCCAGACCTGGCTCCCACCCCTTCCCTTCCCCAAAGGGCTATAGGTGAGGTCAAGGACGAGGCCCACTTTGGGGGAGGAGGTGGTAGCCCAGTGTGTGCCTGGGCTCAGGCCTGGCACCAAGGAGGCAGCGGCAACCTCCTTCTGCCATGCCCGCCCCTGTGACATCCCCGCCCCTGTTCCATGCCCGCCTCTGTGCCACCCCCACCCCTGTGCCATCCCCGCCCCTGTGCCATCCCATGGCAGGTTGGCAGAGCCTCCCAGCCCAGCCTGCTTCACCCTCCTCCTCTCACCCCACAGAACATCTCCCCCCGCCATTCCCCCTGAAAGAGGTGAAGGTTCCCATAGTGGAAAACAGCAAATGTGACGCGGAATACCACACTGGCCTGTACACGGGGGACAATATCCAGATTGTCAAGGACAACGTGATCTGTGCTGGGGACCAGGAGAGTGACTCCTGCCAGGTCAGCCCGTGTCCTCCCCCAAGACTCCCCCCTCAGCCTCTGCAGCCCCTTGCTGACCCCTCTCCTCCCCAGGGCGACTCTGGAGGGCCCCTGGTCTGCAAGGTCAACGGCACCTGGATGCAGGCGGGTGTGGTCAGCTGGGGTGACGGCTGTGCCCGACCCAATAGGCCCGGCATCTACACCCGTGTCACCTCCTACCTGCACTGGATCCACCAGTACGTCCCCAAGGAGCCCTGATGCCACCTGGAGCAAAGACAATGCAGCCCCCTCTTGTCCCAAACCACTACTTCCTGTCCAGTGTCTGCCCTTTCCTCTCCCTGCCCTCTGCCCTAAGTCCCTTCCCCCCAAGCCAACAAGCCCAGCATCTACACCCTCATCACCTCCTACCTGCACTGGATCCACCAGTACGTCCCCGAGGAGCCCTGAGCCCCTCCCTCGGGCTGCCACCTGGGGCCGAGGAGAATCCAGCCCCCTCCTGCCCCAAACCACTGCTTCCTGCCCAGTGTCTGCCCTTTCCACCTCCCTGCACCCTGCCCTGAGCTCCACCAGAAAACTCTGCCTAGCCCAGGGGCTGGGTGGTGGGCACTGCCCCTCATTAAAGTGTGTGAAGAGCACATGTGGTTGTGTGTTCCACTGTGGGTTTCACCGAGGGGGAGGGAGGGCTCCAGGGGCAGCCACGCAGCCACTGTGTGTCACTGTGGGGACCCGGCCCTGAGCACTGGCCTGGCTGTGGAGACACCCCTTCCTCAGTCCCTGGTGCTTGGGCTTGTCTCCCCGGGGAGTGGTCATGGGAATTCAGGACACAGAAAGCAACTCAGAGCATTTAAAAGACGACTCCAGCCCAGCCAGAGTGGCTCAGCGGTTGAGCATTGACCTATGAACCAGGATAATTCTAGGGGCAGCCAGGTACCCAGCATCGGAGTCACAATGTAGATAGACCCTTAGCCCACACCCTGGGGCCCTCTGGCCACGCAGTGCCCGCCCTCCCCAGCCCCGTCCTCAGCCTCAGGCTGCACTGCGCACGCACATGTGGACATCAGGCTCCTGCCTAGGTGTCCCCTCTGCGGACAGAGGGAGGGAGAGGCTGGAGCCTCCCATCACACCGATGGTGCCGTGCCCGAGACTGGGTGCAGGGGGGACACCGCTTCTCACTGTCAGTGTGTCAGCTCCCATGCGGAGCCGTGTCCAGGTCGCTACAGGGACAGAGCTGTCCCTAGTCAGGGTCTCAGGACCAGAGGCGCCTATCCTGAGCGCACACCCCGCATATCTGCCCTGAGCCAGCGAGGGAGCTGGGCCTGAGGTCCGAGCACCTCCGTTTCCTGGGAGCCAGATGTCCCCACAGCAAAGGGGGCCCTGCCTGTCACCCTCCAGCACCCCATTCTGGTAGGGGCAGCATCTGACTGAGTTTTAATTAGCATTTTATGGGATTTGGTGTGGGAACCCCTTTCACAATTGGGGCCCCCTGGGCAGGAGAGGGGGCAGGTGTCCGCCTGCAACACTGAGGGCCCCAGGCCCTCATCCAATGCGTCTGCCTTTTGGATAAGTGGTCGCTGAGCGAGCTTCCTGTCACTGCTCAGGTCCCGTGGCCGCTGGTTCTGTGCCTTCGGCTGCTGTGCGTGCGGCTTGTCTCCTGGGCACAGCCTCCATGCCCGAGCTCCGCTGCCCACGGTGCAGACTTGGCAGGTCCGTGTGGGAGGGCCTCTGCCCACTCACCTGAGCCTCCAAGCTGTGGACACCGCGGTGGGGAGCTCACCTCCTCCTTCCCTTTCACCCTTAACCATCTGATTGCAGCCAGAATACTGCCCTTCCTCCATGTGAGAGCAGAGAGGGGCCGGCCAGCGCCCTCCTCCCTCCCTCTCCGGCCCACACTCTTGGGGCTGCCTCTGTGGTCCGTGGGCTGAGCTCCCTGGATTGCTCACCTTGCACAAGCGCATCTACACGTTCCCAGTGCAGGCTGTGCGGGGACACCGGGGGACAAGGGCTCCTCCGGTGGGGTTCAAGGAAGGAAAGGGACATGGGGGGCCTGGCTGAGACGCCCACACTGGGGGAGCAGGGAGGAGGCCTGGCACCCTGCTACTCTTGTCTGGCCCTGGGATCTGGAGGCGCTCAGCCAGCGGCAGTGACAGACACAGTGAGTGCTGGCTAATCAGGGAGGCTCAGCGGGCCTTCCACTGGGCCAAGGGGGCTGCGAGGGGCAGCCCTTCCTCTGTGCCCACATGGGTCCTCCTGAGGGCGCTCCGTGCAGGCCCATGGTCACTGGCTGCTGGTGATCCGCACCCCAGGTCCAGGCGAGGTTGGCACTCTGGGGTACGCCACCCCTCTCTGTGCTCTCCTGGAAAATGGAAACGAGTCACATCAGTCATGGAGAAGGCCATACCCATGGTGATTGGAGTTTCTTGTTGGAGAGAAGGCATGCCATCTGGGGGTGTGCGGGTTCTGCAGGAAACCATGTATGCTGTGCCGGTGGAATGAGGGTTCTCAGTGCTGGAGACAAATGAGCTGAAACAGATGAAGGCCCTGAAGGCCCATCGTGTGGGGACCAGGGAAGGCCCTGCAGGTCCAGGAGGCAGAGGACTGGGTCCCTCCCGACCTGCCAACCCCACGCTGGGCAGCATCCGGCCCCCGGGGCCTGGCAGTGCTGCAGCCCCATTCCCTGAGCTGGACAGAAAGGGCGCTTTCCCCTTTCCCCTGGAATATATTCCTAGAAGTGGGATTACTGGGTCACATGGCAGTTTCATTTTTTTAGTTTTTTGAGGAAACACCATACTGTTCTCCACAGTGGCTGCACCAGTCTGCATTCCCACCAGCAGTGCACGAGGGTTCTTTGGTCAGGGAAAGGACCAAAGCCGGAACTGTGATGAGGGTGTCCGAGCCCTGATAGGGGAAGGCTGAGGACAGGTGGGCAAAAGGCACAGCTTCTGATACCTAACAGCCCAGTTGTGCAACACCTCAGTGGAAGCTGGACAGCGAGGGCGGGTGGGGTGCTGTGGGGGCAGCACTGTGCCAGCGTCCACCGGTCCTCACGTGTCACAGTGGAGGTCTTAGGGCCCAGGGCAGGGAGGGCTCCTGGAGGCCCTCATTCACGTCACTGCTGTCCCATTCGGGCCCCACCAAACCTCAGGACAACTGTGAGCACACGGACAAGGACACTGAATCTCCCTCACTCTGCCCCACTGCTCAGAGGAACACAGGCCCCAGCGCAGCTTTGTGTCCACAGGAAGGCTTTGCTCCTCACCGAGGGCAGCGCCTGGACTGGCTTCGAGGCAGCACCCCTCTCCGCAGTGCCTGCTGGGGCTCTGACCAAGGCCCCCGAGTTCTGTGTGCTGCTTCCTGGCTCCTCTCCTGGTGGCTGTCCTCCCCCAGCCAGGCCTCTGTCCTAGATGCCAGGGTGCCAGCCATGACACCCAGACTGTCTGACTCCATCTCCACCATCCACTCCTTCCACCTGCTGGCTCCCCCTCTCCACTCTCCCTCCTCCCAAGGCCCAAGCACCCTGGTACCCACCCTGTTCTAATGGATAGGAGACTTGACTAGCATCACCAAGGCTTCCTAGGATTTGTTTACTAGGCTCCTACCACACAGGCCCCGCAGCTGGAGGTTCCCACTGCCTCTCTGTGGGACGTTCCCAGTAAATTGGTTGGTAGTTGGTTTGCTTTCCCCTGAGGTGACCAGTTTTGCCAGGAGAGGCTCCAGGTGCAGTGGCCTGGCTGCCTCCCCTGGCTCCAAGGCATGCTGGGAGGGAAGGCTGGAAGCCCAGGGCCCCAAAGACAGACTGCCACCCATGACTGAATTCTCAGCCCCAGGCTGGTCTCCCTACACCCGGAGCCTCCTAGGGCCTCTCTCCATGTGTCCCATGCATCATCTTCTGCATGTGTGTGGGCATGTGTGCTTATAGCATATGTGTGTGTGTGTGTGTGTGTGTGTGTGTGTGTGTGTATGTGCCTGTTCTTGTGTGTTTGTGTGTGTGTGTGGTTGTTCAGTTGCATGGATTGGGAAGCTCTGATACATGCAGACATATGGTCACATATAACTTTGATAGACGTTGGACAGGAGCAGATCACAGCGAACACCATGTGACAAGGCCACTTGCCAAGTTCACTGAGTTTAGGAGGGGCGTCCTGTATCCCATCTTTTGTTACTGACACTGGACATGTATTTCTCTGCCTTTGTTTACATCCTCGTCAAATACTGAGCCTGAATTTCTGTTCTCAGAGGTCTCTTCCAGTGCCTTGTATTGGAAGACAACAGGCTACATTGGTATTTTAAGCTTTCTCACACTTATATCAAAAATGGGCACAAGCCCTCCTACATTGGGAAGTTTAAAAAATGTACTTCTAAAGAAATGTCAGAATGAAAATTAAAAAGTAGATATGATTTACAATGGTGACAATACCACGTCCTAACATTCACAGGGACATGGGGGCTTGCACCTGGAGGGAGATGACCAGTCCTTTCTGGATTTAGTACAAATAGAACAGAAAATGTCCTGTTGAAGTCTAGAAGTGAGAAAAAAGATGTCAGAGGAAACTGAGAGAGAGCATAAGCAATAGGATAAAAGATCGGCTGACTAAAGGAAGGAAGTCAGGGGTGATTTAAAACCAATAAAAGAGCATAATCATTATTGCTTGTCCCATTTTCGGTTCTTATAAGTGTATTTTCAGTAGGACATGATCTCACTCATCTAGGGGAAATGAAGAACAACATAGACTGATGAACAAGAACAGACTCAGAGACAAGGAGCCATGGGTCAGACTGTTGGACCTCAGACGGAGGGTGGGGATAAAGGGGAGAGATCAACCAAAGGACTTGTGTGCACACATATGAGCCTGACCAGTGGTCAGGGACAACAGGGGGGTGGGGCTATGATTGGGGAGGGGTGGGGATGGAAATGGGGGTATGAGGACAAATATGTGATACCGTACTCAATAAAGAAATTTTAAAAAATAAAACAAATAAAAGAAGCACCTGGACTAGATAATAAAGAAATTACAGGGTTGCAAAGCCAAAGGTGAGTTCTTTAAATCTAATGAACTAGGCCAGTGGTCAGCAAACTCATTAATCAACAGAGCCAAATATCAACAGTAAAACAATTGAAATTTCTTTTGAGAGCCAAATTTTTTAAGCGTAAACTATATAGGTAGGTACATGGTTATTAACTTAATTAGGATACTCCTTAGCTGGCCTTTGCTAAAAACTCAAGGAGCCAAAGAGCTTGTGAGCTGAAGTTTGCCAACCAC